GGACTTTCTCCACGCGGAACTTGGTTTGCTTGGTTTTCTGCAGTTGATGTTCGTAGAAACTGCCCTGAATAGGCTCGTTCATGAGATCTCGAATGTTGTAGGTGGGTGGTTGGGTGGGTAGAACTCTATTCACGACGAACACCTCTTCAGTCCAATTGGGTGTGTAGCCCTTTTCGAAATGAGCTTTGCTAACAGCAATTCTCACTTCATCGTTCACAGCATAGCGTCGCCGCGCCGTGCGTGCATCTGGGCTTTTGCTGGGGTGATCCTGTACAAACGGTGCATTACGCTCCTCGGACGCCTCGGCAGGTGTCATACCGATACTGCGGTGCTTGCTGGTGTTGTAGTCATGTACAAGTTTGGGTAGCACTTTGATGTAGACATTTGTTGATTTTGCTGTAAAGTGTTTCCACATGCGTGACTTGAGCGTTCTGTTGAATCGCTCTGCAACCACCGCCTTGCCGTCGTTATGAGTGCTGTACATGCTAATGTCGTTGTCAGCAAGCCACTGCTTGACTGTTGCGTTGTAGAACTCTTTACCCTCGTCGACCCACAGCTTGCGAGGTGAGCGCTTGCTGCTGGTCACGATGCTGCGAAACGCATCTCTGACAAGTGCGCCCGTCTTGTTCTGGAGCGGTACAACCCATGCATAGCGACTGAAAAGATCGATGACGGTCAGCAAATGTCGAGCACCATTGTTATTTTTTGCAAACGCCTGCATGTCCACCAGATCCGCACTCCATATGTCATCCAGCTCGTGCACTATCACACGCCTGCGGGGGAAGCGTACACGTCTTGGTCTGTGCATTTCACTGGCTAAACGCTCCATCCACACATCGTCGTCATTCTCATCATGATCATCATCATCATCATCATGATCCTCGCTGGCACTGACACCGGCGCTGTCAGTGTCTGGGGTAGCAGCAGCAGCAGCAGCAGCAGCAGCAGCAGCAGCAGTTGCACCACTGCCACTCCCAGTCCCACCACCACCTGCGGTGTCGTTTGTGATTGAATCATCATCATCATCATCATCACTAGTAGTAGTAGTACTGTCAATGTCCAGGATCACGCGATCGTTGTGCAGCGTATTGTCAGTGAAGTGGCGTGCAAGTACTCGCACAGTACCTTCAATAGTACCCAGCTCCGAGAACAGTCTCCCTACTAGAACTGCATACCGGCCACACACGGCAGTGGATCGATTCTGGAGCACGTTGCTGTTCGTGTAGAGCGTGCACTTCGGAAAGGCATTCCTGAAGTAGCGCTCCAATCCCGGTTCGTGATAGTCCCGCTCCATGCGATTCAGTGTTCGACCAAAGCTATCGAAAATCAGCACGCAATCGTGCTCGCGACACACCGTCAGCCAATGGTGTCCACCCTGAGGAGGGTCGTACACGGGCAGAACGTTGTCCGTGTTGACGATACAGAATTGTCCATGCTTCAGGCGTGGTAAAAGGTCGTAGCTCGTTACACCCGCATAGCCTCTCACGAACTTCAGTCGATTGTCCAAATCCACGTTGCTCAACGGTACATTCATCTTCTTTTTTTTTTTTTTTTTTTTTTAAAGCATGATAATAAACATTAATAATAGTAATAGTGACAATGACGACGACGACGACGACGACGACGACGACGACGACGATGACGGCGAACCACTGTAATGCTGCTGATGCTGCTGATGATTTCAATTTTCCAATGATGATGAGGATGATGATGATGATGATGATGATGATGATTCCAATTTTGCAATGATGAGATGATTCCAATTTTCCAATGATGATGAGGATGATGATGATTCCAATTTTGCAATGATGATGAGGATGATGATGATTTCAATTTTCCAATGATGATGATGATGATGATGCTGGTGGTGATGATGATGATGGTGGTGGTGGTGGTGGTGGTTGTTGTTGTTGATCGTCTTCTTAACTCTACAGCGAATTTCCTCTGAGAATGTCGAGTACTTTGGGAAGGGAGCGGTTGCTGTTTTTCAACACAGTCATGACAAAGTCACGGTCATTGGTCAGAGTCCTCTGCAGGCCATGCATGAAGTGATCTGGCTTCATGAGCTGTGCCTCCATGGTGCTCGCGTACGTCTGTGACATCTCCTCCAGACCGGCAAACTTGTAGCCCGATGAGCCGGGAACAGTGAGTGATAGTTGAGTGATGCTTTGTAGCTTGTTCTGCATCCCAGAGAAACCGCGTACTTGAGGCGTGAGTCCTATATCCTGAAGAGCCAGCTTCTGGAATGGGTACTTTGACAAATAGATTCTATTCGTTTCGTTCACCAACGCCACGTAGTCTCTCCTGATCGTGGCTTCCACAGACTGACGCACGCGTTCCAGTTCGCCTGCGAAAGTGCTAGGATTGTCCTGGTAGAGCTGTTGGAGTTGAGCTCTGGCTGTGAAATAGCTGCTTTTCAAGAACACCATGGGAATGTTTCCTCGTGAAAGTTCATCAGATAGGATGTGCAGCAGTATGCGATCAAAGTCCGTGTCCTGGGTAATGCTCAGGGACAGAGTGGAGGTGGGGGCCTTCTTCTTCAATCTAACATCAGCAATAGACTCTCGAACGGCACCGGTGTTTGCATCGTAGTTGAGCAGGTCAGATGCAAGTACATTCAGGACGGATTCGTAGCTGATGAGTTTAGGACTGTTTTGGAAGTGACGCTCGTACAGGTGTTTAACTCGCGGGTTCTTTTCCAAGTCACCAGGCGGCAATCTGCTCAGTGCATGTTCCGGTATGTACTGCAGAACTTTCTTGAAGTGGTTCAGAAACGTATCGTATGCACCAACACCACCACCACCAACACTTCCTCCTTTGACCTTTGCTCGACGCGTTTTGAGTGAGGGGAGAGTTCCCAGGACATCCCATGAAGATTTTCTTCGCTTTAAAACGTACTGCGGCTGCTTTTGCATGAATTGCAACGTCCTCAGTCGTTTCGTCTTGGGTATCTTGAAAGAGCCTCTAAGGCCACCACCACCATCATCATCATCATCATCATCATCATCACCCACTGCTGGACCGGAGCGTGTTATACTATTGGGAAGACCCTTGCAGAATCTAACAGTCAATCGCTCCATTCTCGCACGCGCTCTCTCTCTCTCTCTCTCTCTCTCTATTAGCGGGGATTTTTTTTTTCTTTCAATGTTGTGTGTGAATTTTATTTTTTTTATTTTTTATTCAAACAGCACTTTGTAGGTATGATCGTTGCAATATGTGGAATACTCATTTCGAGAACAGTGAATGGCCAGGATGGGGCGTTGGCAAGCAGCGAGCAGCTTCTCATACAGTCTGAAAATGAGACCAGACTTTGAGCATTGACCACCGAACAGGGTGCTCAGATAGCGCTTGATATTGCTCTTGTCAGTGAAGCGAAACAAGTAGAGAAAATTGGCATTGATCTTCATGTCTTTTATGTTGTCAAAGCTCTGTGAAAGGAAGAATACGTTCAGCTTATAGTGATGGCTGTACATGGTGAAGAACTTGTAGAGACACTCGCGCTGTTCACCGTGCTTAAGTGCCATGACTCGAATGTCATCGATGATGACGTACGTGTGCGGCTCAATGTTCATCTCCTCAATGTTCTCCGGAAGAGTGCTGTAGTGCTTGAAGCTCTTCAGACTCTCCATTCGATACTGATCGCCGGGTGTGTTGGAGATGACCACCAAGCGCTCCGGTTGCACATTGTCCAGTAGTTTTTTCAAGAAGAAGGATTTGCCCATGTTGCTCTGTCCCAGGAACATAACGTTCTGCCCCCATTCACGAAGACTGGGTAGGATTTCATCAAACCATCCTTTTCGTTCATACTCCAGACCTGATATGGCAGGTGGTGAGCGTTGATCTCGCACATGCGGCTTCACAGTTGGGATGGGGGCTGCTGCTGCTGCTGCTGCTGCTGCTGCTGCTGCTGCTGCTGCTGCTGCTGCTGCTGTGACTGTGTGCTTCCCCTTAACACGTTTAAACAGGGTGCCAAAGTCCATTGTGACAGGCATACGATCTGTTACTAGTATGGTGAAAAAAAAAATTGCATCAGATGTTGAATGTGGGGGCAATGTGTGAAGATGAGGCGGGGGCAGGCGCATTGCTTCCAAGGGACGCTCTATTCAAGTTCTCTCTAATCTTGCGTGCGAAAGGTGATTCGTTCATGTTTGCAGCGGCGGCGGTGGCGTTAGTAGATTTTACCCTGGGCATTGCTTTCAGGAGACTGGATCGAATTTTTGATCTGGCTTTGGACTTGATCCGTGACTTTGTCTTGGACTTGACCTTTTCAAACAGGCGTCGTCCTGTGGACTGGAGAGTGTCTGCGAGTTGATGCTTCAGCGAACGTGATTTGCTTTTTACAGTTTTACCACGTCGTCGTCGACCGGCATGACCACTACGGCGTGAGCGATGAGGAGGTTGACGACGACCACTGCTGCTTGCTGCTGCTGCTGCTGCTGCTGCTCTACCCTTGGATTTACCACGAGACTTCACCTTGCGAGTGCCTCTGGCTCGTGTACGTGCGCGAGTCTTGGGCCCATCGCCAAACACCTTGTCAACAACGTTGTCACCCACCGAGGCGAGCGCACCCATAGCAAGGGGGATGCCAATGGACTTCAGCAGTGGAATACCTTTGGCAAGCAGACCGGGGGGTATGGTCAGCCCACCACGCTGCATGGCCGGCTCACGAGTCAGCCTCATTTGTCTTTCGATGACGTTCTCGCTGCCATCACCACCCATTTTTCCTTTTCCCAGCAGCATCGGAAGCAATGAAAGTCCCGCCAGAGCCCAAGGAAAGCCACCGCGTTGCATTAACAGGTCACGCGATGAGGGTTCAGACATGCGACTCTGCAAGTCACCAGCTCCCAACCCAAACAGTTTAAGTAGAGGACCGATGAAACCGCCGTTTTGACGAGATTCAGTACTCAAGTCACCACCTTTGTACAGTCTTTGCTGTGTCGTCAAATCACCACCATCCATCATTCATTGACTCTCTCCACCGCCGCCGCCGCCCTCCAATAGCATGCACGTGTACTTCTTGCTCTATGACGGAGAAATTTCATCAAACAACTTCACTCTTGACACCTCTCTCCTTGTCAATGGTGTACAGGTACTGATCAAGACAGATCATGTTGACCTTGATGGAGGTGGATTGATCACTTGGCAACTTGATGGGAGAGTTGGTGACGGCTGAAAACTGATAGTCGATAGACAGATTGCCTCTCATCTTTTGATTGTCCACTTGATGGTCAAGGTTCAAGTTGATAGGTATCATGAAATAGTGGTTGCAGTAGTCGGCAGCGGTAATGGGTATTTCAGTGCCGTATGTCTTTCCGAAAAATTCACGGACCAGATTGTACCCGCGCAGGTAGGATGACTTGTTGTAATCGTAAAAGTACGTCCCATCATCTTCGTTCACGCTGCACATCCAGTCGAATTTGAGAGGGCTATCGAACAGAGTTTCCTCGTTGACTGTGATGCGCAGCTGCGATATGTTTGCATGAATCATCGCCAATCGATTGGATGAATGAGTGGCATTGCCAGTGCCGAGTGCAGGTTGATCCCTCGATTTCAAGTCTTCGAAAAACAAGAGAAAGCGACGTGGAATGTCGGAGTTGTGCAAAAGCTCTATTGTCCCAGCGTCGTCCGTTATGCTCTTCTGCATCTGTCGCGGGCACCACGTGTGGAAAAACAGCTGCTTGGACAGTCGCACCTGATCGACATAGCTGTGATCCATGCGGTAGGTGGGCACGATGAAATCAAGCTGGGTGAGCTCGATCGTGATGTTGCCTACACTGTCTGCATTGTTAGCACCACCACCCTTGTCGGAAACGATCATGTATCTGGAAAGCTCAGCCTGTGGCAAATCGAACTTGATCTTCACCTGTGTACCCGGTGGTAGCCAGGCATCGTCCGCGTTGAAGAATGGTAGGAAGGGTCGCATCTTGTACTGGAAACGGCCGCACAGTGTGCGCACAATGTTCTCCTGCACGGTGTTGCTGAACGATTCGGTTTCAGAAATGAGTACGCCAGGCTTTCGCTTCACCTTGTAGTTCCCAGCCGTACTGTCGAAATCATCACCGTCAGAATCGTTCGTCATAAATGCATAGGCCCTCTTCCGCTTCACGCCATACCGATACTGATCGAGATGGATGTTTTTCAAGGCCTTTCGAGTATCGAGCTTCTGCAGTCCATACAGATCAGAGTCTGAGTACTGGAGCCTGGATACGTCACTTTCCAGAAGGCTCAGCACGTGCTGTACACTTTGCATGTCTGAAATCTTGCTGGACTGAGTCACCTCCGTTCCGTTCAATTCAACTCTGATGTTTCTGAAGAAGGAAAAGCCCGGGGAGGTAGGACATGTCCAGTGTTCGTAGTGATCACTGCCGTTGGTACGGTTGTCTTTCACGGTGTACTTGAATTTGGCGAGGAAAAAGCTCTCGCCCAGTGCAATAAAGTTCGGTGAGGACAGATTGAGTTCATTGTTCAAGGATGGAGGGGAGGAGTCTGCGGACGAGTAGAGAATGACGCTGCGCCTACCTTCAAGCAGTGAGTACTTTTTTTCATTCCTTTCCAAAATAGCCTTCTGCACAACCTTTGACCCACTCAGCAATCCCTTAAATGAACCGGGAATCTGGGGTGTGAAGAGTTCCTGAGCCATGCTTGCCGTCCTTTGAATACAGGGTGAAATAATTTTCAGATTGCTCGTCCAGAGAGCCATCCACAAAGTCGCGTGCAACTTCGTAGATACCATTAAGCCTGAGATGTTCTTCGCTGGTGAGCACTCCATCCTGCATGCAGACACCCATCTCCATGACGAAAGCATCTTCGGCTTTGTCCCACTTCTGATAAGAGACGAGGAGCTTCTGCAACACATTTCGCTGAGTGTGCGCAAACTTCACAACACAGCCCAGTGCACATCCAACAGTCATTGAGATCAGGGAGAGAATGCCGACGATGCGTCTGTCAACGTCTGCAAGAACAGTTGTCTGACTTACACTGAGAGCTACCTGAATGACGAGCAATGTGCTGACGATCAGGTTAACACGTGCAAGCTGCTTCTCAACAGTGTCGCTTTTGTTTTTCATAGCTGCTTTTCGACGCTTGATTTTTCGCAGCATCAACCTAAGGTGCTCCAGATGAGGCTCATCGTAATCTTCATTGTCGTCCTCACGGCACACGCTACTTGCAGTGTCGATGCTAATAGAGGTGTAGTGTTCAGTATCCATATTGATCTCTTCTTCTTCTTCTTCTTTCTTCTTCTTCTTTCTTCTTCTTCTTCTTCTTCTTCTTCTTCTTCTTCTTCCACCAGGTCCTTACTAGGGAGAGGAAATATTTTCGATGCGCAGGTCCAGATAGATGGGATATCCTGCGGTGATGAGCTCGCCAGTGTTGAATTTCAACCAGAAGGTCATCTGACGCACGCTTTCGTTTCCAAGCAAGATGCGCTTGTCATCCTTGGAAAACACATAGTTATTTACACCGTTCAGAGTTTGTACGAGAAATGTTTTCAACACCCTGGAATCCACGTTGTCTTCATATTGGATGGAGGGGGCGATCAGGTCTGTGTACAGCAGAACCATTCGACGACCAACGGTGAGGTCCACAGCGTGCGAGAAGGTCTGCACACCTCTAATAGCATAGCGCATCTGAACTTCGCCAGCACCCAGCACGACTCCTGGAGAGTCATTTTTAAAGACACAAGTCTTGCCTGTTGGTACTGATGCTGTAATTCTGCTGCTCAGTCGTGAATAGGAAAAAGACACATCGCCATGACCATGCATAGCAAGCGATGCGTTGATGCTGAGGACAATGTCTTCTGCATCTGTATAGGTTCCTGTTGAGATGGACACACGATCCTCCACTCCACTGGCGTTGTCCGTGATGTACAGTTTGTTCGTGCGCTCACTCACGTTCTCATGATGCAGTTCAAACTGTGCGGATTCCAAGTGAATGGTTTTACCTCGAGTATCGAATTCTTTTATGTTTAGGGTAAAATTAGCGGTATATCTCCCACTGCTCACAGCAGAGACTGCGTTGGTGGAAGTGAGAATCACAGACATCCTTGGTTTATAGATGAAAAAATTTCACCTCTGAAGTAGGAAAAAACAAGCGTCCATAGATCATGGCATTCTGGACATCAACTTCCCATAAAAGCGATGCAGAGCTTAGTTCGCAGAGGGCGGCTCGCGAGGTTCAAGACGACGTGACACAACTGAAAGTGCTGCTTGGTAATAAGAGTACGGAAAACACTATAGTGCATGACGTGCAGTCTTTGAAGGCAGTCAAATTCAACAGGACCGAAGGCATAGAGCTGCAAAAGCAACTGATAAAAGTTCGCAAGAGTAAGGGGCCTCGAGGTCAAAGAGGTACAGGATGGCTCGGAGGCGGAAGGGAGCCGTCCATAGCAGAAGGTGGCCTGGGAGACTTCTACATCAACACAGGCAACGGTCTGGTGTACAAAAAGGAGTCCGAAGGTTGGGTGGTGATAACAACAGCAAGAGGACCCAGAGGATTGCAGGGTCAACGAGGAGCGCAGGGACTAGTGGGAGAGCGAGGAGAAAGAGGAAGACGGGGTCGTGTGGGTGAGCCAGGTGTACGTGCAATGGTTCACACTGTCAGCGGAACACTCCCGGAGACTCAAGCAAACACAGAACTGGTGCTCACTGAATTCCCATTTGGAAAAAATGTGGATGCCGGTACCATTGTGCCGCTTGGGTTATACATTCTAGTTGGATACCCTGCAGATGCTGCAGAGCGCGGGACAAAGGAGATACGCTACTGGATGTCACACAGTCAAACACCCAGGAAGAACAAGTGCACGCTGTCATTCACTTCCAACCCACTCCATGCCAATCAAGCCGTACTGAGAATGGACGATACCATCACAGGCGTGTACAGAAACTACAACATTTATGATTCATTCCGTTTTCTTTACCAAGTGTATTGATAAATTATAATAAAACATTTTTAATGAATAACGTCATGTATTATGATGATGATGATTTGAGTGTGTGTGTGTGTGTGTGTGTGTGTGTGTGTGTGTGTGTGTGTCCACATGTCAAATAATATAGCTCAAAGTGAGGGAGGCAAGGATAGACATAATAGTAATCAATGTGAGCATTTGTGGAATTCCACAATTCGTGAATGTTGACTGAGTTTGCTGACAACGCTTGTAGTGCACCACATCAAGAGCATGCAGTTCTCGATCAAAGAACTCAACTAGAGTGCAGTGCAGCTCATGATCGTATCCTCTCAGCGACACTTCTTCACACAAGAGAATGAGCATTGCAACCAACACGATGATCATACTAATGTTGTTACTGGAAGGGGTGCTCTTCACCTTCTTGAACACGCAGGATAGGTTCTTTATGAGGTGGCGTTGAGCAATGTCCGACTTGCCAGTAGCAGTACTAGGCGTACTTCCATCAGGGCTTGGATCAACTGGAAACAGCAGCTTCACTACATCAAGTAGTTCTTTCCGCCCGCAGCAAGCCATGTCCTTGGCAGCAATCCAGATCAAGTTGGTTATGGGGTGACTTTCAACAACTGCTTGGTCATATCCATGGTCTCCATTGAAAGGTTCCACCAGGTTTGTCAGCGAGGTTGCGATTCCCAACCGCGCAGCACAACGCATCAGCGCACCCATTGGACAATGGCCGTCCTCACCATGATCTTTCAAAATAGACCACATGTTCATGATCTTCTTCTTCTTGTTGTTGTTGTTGTTGTTGTTGTTGTTTTTTCTTCTTCTTCTTCTTCTTCTTCTTCTTCTTCTTCTTCTTCTTCTTCTTCTTCTTCTTCTTCACCAAAGTAATAGCAAGGATGAAGACAACAACAACAATTACTTGTGACTTGGCAAGGATGCTTTGCGAAATGATGGAAAATTAAGAGGTCAGGGGTTTTATACAGCGGCAACGGTACCCTTCATCATCATCTTCCTCGCCCTACACATGGCACTTGAGAAACGGTACAGCGCACATTTCATCTCCGCAGGAATTAATTCCACACGAGGTTCACAGCACCCGTAAGATTGGATTAGTCTTTGCATCAGTTCCTTCTCCTCAGAATTAAACTCTCGGATATTCTGCTTAAACTTCTTCAGCTGAAAAGGGGTAAGAGGTTTTGTACGGATTAGAAGTTGGCGGAGCCAGGCTTTCGAAAATTGCTGCGGTTTGCAACTCATTAGCTTGCTGGATCGTGCCCACGCCACATGGCTCTTTGGAAGATATGGCTGAAGCTTCTGGCAAATCTCGTCGTGCTCAGCACAGATGCATGTCAGAGCTATGGCATAGTTCAGGCTCTTGTAGCCACTCTCCTTCTTCATGTACTGCAACGGTTCCAGCACACCGTGAAGGTTCAGCAGGACACCAGTCTTCTGCATGAAGCGTACCAGATGTCTGTCGACGGCAGTCAATCGCTCCCGAGCTGCATATAGCCGTGGGAGAATGCATCTCTCCGTAAAATTCACCTCCGGCAACAGCACGCTATCAAGAACAAGTCCGCATACAGTACACACAAAGTGCCCCTCGTTCACAACTTGATGATTATGAAAACATTTGTCAATGTTTGGACTAGGAGGAGGGGCATCAGGACAAGGGTCATCGTCATGCTCAACGACGGCGCGTTGACGCTCCTTGTACGCACGCAGTATTTCAAATTGCTCTTCAATATCCATTATGCTAACTGATCACATTTTCCAGTAAACGCTGCATCATATATCAATTTATAAATGAGTCACACCTCCTAAAATACCCCCCTATGACATCCGTAGAGCTAGTTCTAATTAGCCTGGGAATACCTAGAAGGTTCCAGAACACATTCCCAGACAGTGACTCTTATCAACAACCACACCCACCACTTTAAAAGCAATTATGACGCCGAGAGGCACTTCAAACACCACTTAATCATTAATCCAATTAAATATGACACCTGGCCCACTTCAAAACCACTTCAGATCTCAAGTGGCCACTTCATTACCACTTATCCAATTAAAAGGTCAAGTGGCCACTTAATTAACAACCGCAAAGTTCAAGTACCCATTCATAACCACTTATCTGTGCCAGAACCGGCTTGGTCCCTACTACTGAGATACGCTACTGGATGCCACACAGTCAAACACCCAGGAAGAACAAGTGCACGCTGTCATTCACTTCCAACCCACTCCATGCCAATCAAGCCGTACTGAGAATGGACGATACCATCACAGGCGTGTACAGAAACTACAACATTTATGATTCATTCCGTTTTCTTTACCAAGTGTATTGATAAATTATAATAAAATGTTTTTAATGAATAACGTCATGTATTATGATGATGATGATGATGATGATGATGATGATGATTTGAGTGTGTGTGTGTGTGTGTGTGTGTGTGTGTGTGTGTGTGTCCACATGTCAAATAATATAGCTCAAAGTGAGGGAGGCAAGGATAGACATAATAGTAATCAATGTGAGCATTTGTGGAATTCCACAATTCGTGAATGTTGACTGAGTTTGCTGACAACGCTTGTAGTGCACCACGTCAAGAGCATGCAGTTCTCGATCAAAGAACTCAACTAGAGTGCAGTGCAGCTCATGATCGTATCCTCTCAGCGACACTTCTTCACACAAGAGAATGAGCATTGCAACCAACACGATGATCATACTAATGTTGTTACTGGAAGGGGTGCTCTTCACCTTCTTGAACACGCAGGATAGGTTCTTCATGAGGTGGCGTTGAGCAATGTCCGACTTGCCAGTAGCAGTACTAGGCGTACTTCCATCAGGGCTTGGATCAACTGGAAACAGCAGCTTCACTACATCAAGTAGTTCTTTCCGCCCGCAGCAAGCCATGTCCTTGGCAGCAATCCAGATCAAGTTGGTTATGGGGTGACTTTCAACAACTGCTTGGTCATATCCATGGTCTCCATTGAAAGGTTCCACCAGGTTTGTCAGCGAGGTTGCGATTCCTAACCGCGCAGCACAACGCATCAGCGCACCCATTGGACAATGGCCGTCCTCACCATGATCTTTCAAAATAGACCACATGTTCATGATCTTCTTCTTGTTGTTGTTGTTGTTGTTGTTGTTGTTTTTCTTCTTCTTCTTCTTCTTCTTCTTCTTCTTCTTCTTCTTCTTCTTCTTCTTCTTCTTCTTCTTCACCAAAGTAATAGCAAGGATGAAGACAACAACAACAATTACTTGTGACTTGGCAAGGATGCTTTGCGAAATGATGGAAAATTAAGATGTCAGGGGTTTTATACAGCGGCAACGGTACCCTTCATCATCATCTTCCTCGCCCTACACATGGCACTTGAGAAACGGTACAGCGCACATTTCATCTCCGCAGGAATTAATTCCACACGAGGTTCACAGCCCCCGTAAGATTGGATTAGTCTTTGCATCAGTTCCTTCTCCTCAGAATTAAACTCTCGGATATTCTGCTTAAACTTCTTCAGCTGAAAAGGGGTAAGAGGTTTTGTACGGATTAGAAGTTGGCGGAGCCAGGCTTTCGAAAATTGCTGCGGTTTGCAACTCATTAGCTTGCTGGATCGTGCCCACGCCACATGGCTCTTTGGAAGATATGGCTGAAGCTTCTGGCAAATCTCGTCGTGCTCAGCACAGATGCATGTCAGAGCTATGGCATAATTCAGGCTCTTGTAGCCACTCTCCTTCTTCATGTACTGAAACGGTTCCAGCACACCGTGAAGGTTCAGCAGGACACCGGTCTTCTGCATGAAGCGTACCAGATGTCTGTCGACGGCAGTCAATCGCTCCCGAGCCGCATATAGCCATGGGAGAATGCATCTCTCTGTAAAATTCACCTCCGGCAACAGCACGCTATCAAGAACAAGTCCGCATACAGTGCACACAAAGTGCCCCTCGTTCACAACTTGATGATTATGAAAACATTTGTCAATGTTTGGACTAGGAGGAGGGGCATCAGGACAAGGGTCATCGTCATGCTCAACGACGGCGCGTTGACGCTCCTTGTACGCACGCAGTATTTCAAATTGCTCTTCAATATCCATTATGCTAACTGATCACATTTTCCAGTAAACGCTGCATCATATATCAATTTATAAATGAGTCACACCTCCTAAAATACCCCCCCTATGACATCATACCGTAGAGCTAGTTCTAATTAGCCTGGGAATACCTAGAAGTTTCCAGAACACATTCCCAGACAGTGACTCTTATCAACAACCACACCCACCACTTTAAAAGCAATTATGACGCCGAGAGGCACTTCAAACACCACTTAATCATTAATCCAATTAAATATGACACCTGGCCCACTTCAAAACCACTTCAGATCTCAAGTGGCCACTTCATTACCACTTATCCAATTAAAAGGTCAAGTGGCCACTTAATTAACAACCGCAAAGTTCAAGTACCCATTCATAAGGTAAAGTGGGTTCAACTTTGGCCCAGGACCCGCTCGGTCACTACTACTGATTCATTCCGTTTTCTTTACCAAGTGTATTGATAAAATTAAATAATAATAAAAATGTTAATGAATAACTTCATGTATGAGGATGATAATGATGATGATGATCTGTGTGTGTGTGTGTGTGTGTGTGTGTGTGTGTGTGTGTGTCTACATGTCAAATAATATAGCTCAAAGTGAGGCAGGCGACAATAGACACAATAGTAATCAATGAGAGCATTTGTGGAATTCCAAAATTCGTGAATGTCGACTTTTGCTGACAACGCTTGTAGTGCACCACGTCACTAGCATGCAGTTCTTGATCAAAGAACTCAACTAGAGTGCAGTGCAGTTCATGATCGTATCCTCTCAGCGACACTTCTTCGCACAAGAGAATGAGCATTGCAACCAACACGATGATCATACTAATGTTGTTACTGGAAGGGGTGCTCTTCATCTTCTTGAACACGCAGGATAGGTTCTTCATGAGGTAGCGTTGAGCAATGTCAGACTTGTCAGTAGCAGTACTAGGGGTCGTTCCATCAGGGGTTGGATCAACTGGAAACAGCAGCTTCACTACATCAAGTAGTTCTTTCCGCCCGCAGGAAGCAAGGTCCTTGGCAGCAATCCAGATCAAGTTTGTTATGGGGTGACTTTCAACAACTGCTTGGTCATATCCATGGTCTCCATTGAAAGGTTCCACCAGGTTTGTCAGCCTAACCGCGCAGCACAACGCATCAGCGCACCCATTGGACAATGCCCGTCCTCACCATGATCTTTCAAAATAGACCACATCTCAAGTGGCCACTTCATTACCACTTATCCAATTAAAAGGTCAAGTGGCCACTTAATTAACAACCACAGAGTTCAAGTACCCATTCATAAGGTCAAGTGGGTTTGCGCCAGGACCCGCTCGGTACATACTACTAACAGTGACACAAAGAACCAGTACAGCTTTGAACTGCTGGATGCCTAGCTCGTGCACCATTTTTTTCATACAGATCTGGCGATAGATCGTTGAGAACGCCAAGAACGTCCTTCTGCATGTCTATGAAATTGGCTCTATACTCCCTCAAGAATCCAGGAGGAGCTGTAGAGTCAAAGTAAGTGCGGATTCTTTTCTCAATTTTGGGGGTGAAGAGCTGTCATCCTGACCAACTCCCACATCACTATCAGCTTCATGTTTCAAAGGAGTAGCGGCTGTGAACTGTGGTTTATATAGTGTGGAGTGTGCAATGAGAGTTGGTAGAATTCAGTACAGAGTACATGCTATTGACAGGTTCTTTTTGCATCGATCTTCGAGATGATGTTTCTTTGTAATCCAAATACTGCCGCTAAAAGTGCTTTCAACCGTATCAACTAACATGTCTGATCAATTGGTAGGAAATGCATTGTTTTTCAGTTGTACCTCCACTACCTAATATTACAATTGAAATTTAAATTTACGTTCCAGAACTTTCGACGGGTACGATCTTCGAGATGTTTCTTTGTAATACAAATACTGCCGCTAAAAGTGCTTTCAACCGTATCAACTAACATGTCTGATCAATTGGTAGGAAATGCATTGTTTTTCAGTTGTACCTCCACTACCTAACATTACAATTGAAATTGAAATTTAGGTTCCAGAACTTTCGACGGGTAATTCAATTCTAGGTCAGCTGCAGTGGTGATGGACTTGCTATACCATAATGGCTGATTGAGAAAGTGTATTGTATAATAGCATTCAAGAGGTGTATATAAGGAGCAAGGGTGAAGCACTGGTGTTTGACAGACAGTGACGGTAGAAGAGTTGGAGGAAAAAAAAAGAAGAAGGCAAGCAATCAAGGACTTGAGAAATAAAAAGAAATCATCTGCAATAGAGGTAAGTGACAGTGCTATGATGATGTGCGTGTTGTTGTTGTTGTTGTTGTTGTTGTTGTTGTTGTTGCTACTAATTGTTAAATCATATATATGTGGTAGAACAATGATGTAGTCTTTCAAAGTATTGAGTGATCAACTGCTTAGAGAACTGGTTTTTTATGTAGTCTAGAAGTTTCCATGACATACTTGCGCCATTACTCTTGTCTGTCAAGAGACTTTGATCTAAATAACGAATTGCTCACTTTTTGTTCTAGACAAGTGTCTACGAAAGCACATACTTGAAGGATTACTCATACAAAGGTAAAAAGGAGTTTCTAGAAGATTACTCATGTCTTGCACTTATGTCGCGGATAGGCACTTCAACACCATTTAGTCATCAATCCAATTACATGTGACACCTGACCACTTCAAAATCACTTATCCAATTAAAAGGTCAAACGGCCACTTAATTAACACCCCAGAGTTCAAGTGCCCATTCATAAGGTCAAGTGGGGTCAACCTTGGCCCAGGAATGGCTTGGTCCTGACTACTCTGAGTATTAGGTCAATATAGGAAATAAAAGCCGCAAGACCGAGGCGAAGATAATCATTAGAGTTATCACGACAAACAGTCAGTATTTCAAATTCCAGAACGATAACTAGGGGTCAAACGGGTGTACCTTTAACTAACGAACGGGTAATTTTCTTAACGGGCGGGTTAACGGGTACCCTTTAGCAGCCATATTATTTTTTTGCGCATTTCTCACATAAATCATGATTTTAATTTGTATATTCTCAGGTTGTATTTTGATACTACATTATGATTCGCAATTGATTCGTGTATCATATTATTATTATGGCAATGAAGGTTCCAAATGAATGTCATCCGTGCATTTGCCCATGTACATAACTTCACACTAATCACAGGCAGTAATTACTTACAATCGTACATGTAGATGGTCCTACAAGCTACATGTATTTTGATACATGTACGCAAATCAACTGCAGATCGATGTGATTCAAGCCACGTGATCTCGCGCAATTTTGCTATGTTCGCAGAGAACTGGTACTCGTTGCATTCAGAAGATGTTCGCGCCCAGGCCATAGCTAGCTGGGGTGCCTGACACAGCTGATGTGCTGCTGGCCAGCTAGCTGCTAGTGCTAGCTTGTTGAACTCGTGAAATGAATCTTCACAAATCCGTAATCTTGTATGCAATATTTCGAACTACTTTTCAGCTCGTCGATTGAAGGAACAAACTACAACCATGAGTATCATACATGTAGCTACCACCTACGGACATCACCGTTTGTGACACTCCGACTGGTCACTCAGCCTGGTGACACTAGTTCATCAAGTACTGTGGCAGGTTCGATGTCGGAGAACCATCGTAACTTTCTAGTTACTCAGCTGCCACCTCGAACGAGTTTCAAGTCTTGCATTTTCTCACATCACAATCAAAAACCTCCAGTACGAGGATTTTTACTTGCACTAGAGTGGAGAGAACAACTGTCAAGTCTGTCTTTCAGCCTGCTCCTGCCTGAAAAAGTCTAAAGTCGAAAGCGGGAATGCACAGGAAAAAGGAAAAGAGTATCCGCACTCCTATTTTGAGTCTTGGAATACGATAGGATCACCTTTTTTTTTTTTTTTTTTTTTTTTTTTTTTTTTTTTACAAACGGGTACCCTTTTACTAACGGTACCTGAGATTAACGGGCGGGTACCCGGGTACCCGGTACACCCGTTTGACCCCTAACGATAACCCAATGAATCCCGGTTTTATGATTGCACAACCGGTGCACAATCACCTACTCATACAGTGACCATGCTGTACTAGGCACCTTTCAACTGCGCAACCCATAAGCAGTTAAATAATATTATAAGCAGTCAATAGCGCTAAAGAGTGAAATATGCAGGAATATTTGACTGCTTAGGTATAGCGAAAATTAATGGGACTCGGCTTTTATTTCCTATACTGCCTTTGTACTCAGTCAATATTAGATAAATATTCCTTGATCCCGAAGGAATATGTGAGGTAGATATGTTTCGAGAATGTGTTACCTATAACGTAGACAAGGAGTGGGAAGACAAAGAACTCTACATGGACATCTGTCAATATGAACGTAGGGAATCAGCCAAAGCTAGAATGCAAATGCTTCAGAAAGGGGGACGAATTTGCACCAAAAATGTTCCTCAGATCGACATTGTTGACGTAGATATAGATCCAAAAATGAACATGCAATTCACACATCCACGCACTCACATACGGATCGACATAAATACACACACCAAAACAGGAATAATTCATTATTACTCACCAAACAAAGTTGTCTGAACGTGTACTCATTGAGCAGCAACCGTTGCATGGATTTGCTTACACAGCAGACCTGAAATATGTCTTGAATAGACAACATTGGCAACCAGATGTCTTGCCACACATCAAACTTTACACTTTCCAGTCCATTCGCTATTGATTCATGGGCATCCATTGTCATGGTAGGCCTGTAGTTCTGTTCTCAGTGATCTATGCCTATGGGGCTATCTACATGCGACCAACAAGAACGAACACAATGCAACACAATAATGCACACAGAACAAAACCCAGAAACTCGCAAGTCACAAGTATATTTTTCATTTTAATATCATTTATACAAAAGAAAAGACCAAGAAACTACAAGCTCTCCGTCCGAGTTCATTCCTGCACACCTTATGAAACATTTGATCAGACTACCTCAAGATAACTACAACTATATGTATAGCCGAGAGTTAACAATCAGGCTGGGAACTTTTATACTTTAGCTATAACATTACACCGTAGTGGCCGCCATTCCATACATTTTCATAAAATCAGCAGAAAAGGGAAGAAGAAAGCAGAAAAACGACAGACAGTAGTTTCAAACAGAAAACTCTTTGCTCTCCACTGAACCTCGCGCTTTCTCGCTGCCTTGACTTCACACTACACTAATTCCCGAAAGGATTTATGCATCCTTGCAGGCTTGCAGTGTGGCATTTTCAGTGGACTTCTCGTGTGCACTGTATGGCAGTCTCGAGTCAGTCAAGTGAGAACCCATGTCGGCAGAAAAGAGCAACCTCTCACCAAGGAAGCAGCACAGAATGTCGCTAACAGTGTTTTGAAAAAAGGGAATCAACAATTTTACAATAAGCACAACATGAACTGACTATAGAGATTCTATGGCGTTTACATCCTACACGCTTACCTAACTGAGCGGAAGGAAAGTTGGTAACTGGTGATCTCGGTTAGGAACACAAGTTTCTGCTGTACTAGGAGGAAGAAAAACGGATCTGATCGGCTGCTTTGCAAAGAGTCTACTGACTGTCTGTGCGAAAGCGGTCCAGCTCTACCTTGCTAGTAGTAGTAGTATACCATAGACTAGTGGCATAGTATTAGTACAGTCATTTTCCAGGACTGTGTCATCAAAGCCAAAGGAACACTTGCACTTGTGTAAGTACTAGCACAATGCAGTCAAATAATTAGTTGAGAGCGTTCACATGGTTCAAGGTCTGGGACAAGACTGTGAACAGGTGAAGTGGTCCCTACGCGTCTGCTGCTCGAGTGCCTGCATCATGTCATGTAACGCAGCTGGGCATCTGGCAGCCCACGGCCACGCAATCGCAGCAACTGTGCCATCGCAAAAGTAAAGACCGTAGAGGAGACGGCTCGATACCGGGACGTTTTGACAGCCAAATTTGTATAGACCCAAACCGATCATCAGCGTTGATTTTCCACTCGAAATATGTTTGTGGAAGGAAACTGGCGCCATGGCATGTTGAAGTTTGCTCTGGGGCCAGAGTCAATCGAACTGAGCCACTCCTTTGTGTTGACCCATTGCCTCCAAGTTGCCCAATTTTTCGCTTCAAAAAAGTTCAAATCAGAGGTGGCTCCAAACCGGACACGTTTTAGAGTGCACGTCAAATTCACTCTGGGTCTGAAATTAGGTAATTGCTATCGCTCCACGACGGCCAGTACAGAGTAACAATAAGCCTTGTGTGTGCTTCCATTAGTTTTGATTGGTATGCGGTGCTTCATTGGCGAGAGGCGAGCCGCTGTTTACCTGCGACAAGAAGTTGATTTTTCGAAAGTCGTAAAACTCAAGTCGCAGTGCGAAGCAACACGTCAAAAACTCACCTGCTTGATATGGCGCTTCTGGTCATCGCAGAGCCATGAAATTTTGGCTCGGAGTATAACACATAGTAGTCTCACTGTGACATATGTTTTCTAATCAAAATACCAAGAGAGAAAGTGAATATTGAGTCCGTTCCGGTTTGCAACCGGTGTCCTATTTGAAACCGTCCCCTCTACATGATTGATTGTAGTTGAGTTTGGCTCAACGACTACGTTCGCGATGCGACAAGCGATTTGGCCTACGTTTTGGACCTATTTTACAGGAAAGTAGTACAAAAGTTCAAGAGTAGTACAGTCATGTACCATTGTCCGATTTGTCGGCAGTCCATGCGTGATTCGATGAAGGATGTCTTGGATGATCCCGAAACAGAGTGCCACCTCCTCGTTGATGCCGATAACGACTTCAACTCTGTTAGTCAAACTGCCACCCTAGCTATGTAGACAATCATAGTAGAGTTCTGGCAGGACTATAATAAAGCAGGGAGTAGTAAAATATGTAAAAATATGTATTTTACTACTCCCTGATATAAAGTTTATCATGCCTTTAATATGCCAAGTTTAATATGGCTGAATCAAGGCCAAGTGCATACGGCCAAGGGCGCAGGCCAAGGCGCGTAGCGCCGAGGCCTGCGCCCGCGGCCGTGCCCACGAGGCCTTGACATGATGAAGGCGGAAAGTCCTGCCAGAAATACACAATCCTACAACACACA